ATGACCGTGATAAGGGCATGCCAAAATGACACTATAAAAAGACGGGAATCAGATAAACCAGGTGAGAATCAGGGGAACGCAAAATCCAGCAGAAGTGAACCCATTGGGTTTGAACTCACCAGTATGATAGTAAGGGTTTCAATGCCATCGGGCACAATATCGTGCATATCCTACTGCGATTCTATAGTTTGCTATTCTTCTCCGCGATCCATCCACAAGGATCACCCTGACATTAGAACCTGCAGACGGGTGGTGTAGTTGTTTAGTCACTATCACCGCCCTGCTTTATACCTTATGGTCCGAGCCTCGCTACCGCCATCCAAATTTAGTAGTAGGCAGCTTTGCTATTGTCCGTTTTAATACCACGCCTAACCTAGCGGAGCCTTATGTGGTCCGCTACACCAAATGCCGGGGCTTAGGTTACCGGTTTTCATTACTGTAAAGTAGGTCCCCGTGACTGTGAGGATTTCTCCGTCTGCCGTTCATCACACTACGTGTTGTAAAAACATCCATTCAAAAGCATGGTGTTAGGGATTTTTATACGTGGACACTGATTAAGAACAGCTAAGATTCCATTTCCACGTCCAATGCGAGATCGTGGAAAAGTGCACGAAAGCCGACGTCCACGGTGAACCGCAAAGGACAATTTAAAATACGCTTCTAACAATTCTGCCACCAGTCAAAAAACGGGGTGTGGGAACCTGTTCAAGCGAACTATTCACACACTGATCGTTGACCTAAAGAGGGCATTCGACTCCGTTGAACGCGAAGGTCTTATGGGTTTCGTTCTTCGTAAAGAAATGCGCCAGAAGTACTCTGACTTACTGAGGTCACTGTACTCACATATTTTTGATTGAGTGAGAGTCTATAACGAACTGAGTAGGCCGCTCCTCACCAGCAGCGGCATTCGTCACAGGTACCCTACTTCGACTATCCTGTTCAACTTAGTCGCAGACGAAATACTGGAAAACACATTAAGTGGTTTCGAAAAGGTTGCTGGAGCAAGGCTGTGCGACCTAGAGTACTGAGACCTAGGGCTTGTCTGTTCGGATGTATGGAGGATGCACAAAGCGCACATGACAGACGAACAACTGTTGTGGCCTCATTCGGTATGTGCTTTTCACCTTCAAAGTACAAAGTGATGTTACAGGACTGGGTCTCGCCTACTTCCGCTCTGACACTAAACGGCCAGGAATTAGTTACGGCGGATTACTTTTCACACTCAGGCAGTTGTATGAACAATGACGGTAGCACAACTAAAGAAATAACCGCTTGGATTTCCAAGGCTCGAGGGGCGTAAGCAGGACGGAAATACCCCTCACGTAGACGCAAAGTTTCACTGAAGTTGGAAGACCGTGTATCTTGTGCTACCATTTTTTAGTTCTGCTTCATTGTTATGAGAACTGAATTTGCGAGCAAAAGATACGCATCGACTAGGAGTTTTCTCAAATCAGTGTTGACGTAATCCGGTCCATGTGGGATAAAGTGAACGAGTTTGGGTCTATCGGGGATAAAAATGCTACCTCGTCAAATTCAGATAAGTGGGCTGACTTGGTTATGCCACGTGTTGCGTATGCCCATTTGCCGGGTACCGCACTCGGTCTCACTAGTCTTAGCCGCTCCTGGATGGAGAAAACCACGTGAAGGTTAACAGATGACATGAAAACGAGGCACGCACAGAGTTATAGATAGGTAGATAGGTATCTCTTGTCTTCCAGGTTGGTGTCCGAAACGCTCTGGAGACATTGAAAGATATGGCAGTGAACCGACAGTAGTGGTGTTCTTATCTGGTCACAATGCTTGAAAAGGTGTGTATGCACAGTTAGATTGTGTAATCTGTGTGTGTTGACCAAAAAGATAAACTCTTCAAAATAGGCCCAAACTCTGTCCACCTCACATTCTCACCAAAAGGGCATGCATTACGAATTTGGCCGCGATTGGTGAATTTCGCTTCACTGTATTTCACCGTACTATGATGATGATAATGACCTCAAAATAACGACTGATTCTGGTGCACGGTCAAAGATGAGGAAAGGGGAAAACGAAATACCACAGTTAGGCCGATGTTTAGGGAGAAAGATGGCTCAGAGCGCAATACCAGAAGATGGTGAATGGGAGTGACTATCCGTCTGCGTACGAGACCAATGGGGAAGAACCAGTGGAAGAAGAACAGGAGAGGCAAGTACGGTTGAAGGAAAACCAGGGTAAAGAGCGACCACTTGACAGTGAGCGAGTAACTGAAAATTGGATGTTAGACACGGCTCGTTCGGAAACAAACCGATTTTACTTTAAACTTTCACTCAATAAACCGAGAGGTAGAGGAAGCTACATTTCACACACGATTGCAGCAGTTAAGTAAAGGACGAGTATGAGCTTTGTGAGGGACGAGGGGAGTGGAAGTGAACGTGAGTCTGGCGGCGATGGTGGGATGCAAAAAAATAAAGAGGAAGGAATGATTCGTGTTCAAGAGTATTGATATGGAACAGATTCTAAAGTAATTAAACAGAACACGATAGCGACAGCCCCAAGAAGAAATAATATCACGATTATGTACTGTTAGTGGTTATACAACTGAAACTGAATACCAAGACCCGAATTCAGGGAAATACCGAAGGGGGAACGGTCATTGCTAGCGATAGCGTTTTCGGAGCAACAGAAGCGTCAGGAACAAAAGAGGGGTGTGGTGAGTGGAGTCATCAGCCACGGCATGAGAAAAACTGAAAGTTGAGGAAATGTCATTAATGGATCGATTTGGGGCAAAGAATAGAACCCTCAGGGAACAATGGTATCACAGGTACGGGACAAGACATGGTCCCATCGATTCGAACGGAGATGGTGCGGTCTTTGAGAAAACTTACCGTCCAGGACACAAGTTAAGGGGACACTATACTTCGGGAGGTTAGCCAAGGAATCGATCAGCAACAACTGAATCCATAAATGTGTGTGGAGGGCGTTAGCTAATGGGATCACTGCGTCTGGGTANGGGGGCTGCAAACACCTCAGAGCTGAGGAACAGACAAAAAAGGGACAGTTCCAGGGAACGAATTTCAAAAACAATGAGTAGAAACCCGTCGGGTTGTGTGTATCTAACAATACGAATATTTCACGTTTTAGTAAGAATGATAGGTGTGAAAATATGTTTTACTTATGGGTAGATGGACCGGAGCCGAATCGCTATAGTGTGCGTTTGGAACTGAGAGGAGTGCGATGCTTAAATTAGGTCGAAAATGCGATAAGATAGTGCTTCAGTGAAATCGGTAGAGGAAGTGTGGTAATTTTGGAAAATAAATACCAATTAGATGTGACGATGAGAAAGAGGACTTGGTCCTCGGTGTAATCGAGAATACGGGTGCAGTGGGCGAATAGTTGCTGTGGTTTGTTTAGGGGGGTAAGTAATTTCGCATCACGTTCGAGGGGCGATGTCCCTGCAGAGTGTAACAACTATTTCAAAGGAGAAATTCTTCAAGTATATGGCAAGTGAGCGAGATCCGTGGCCCGCAACAAGATCATATCGT